CTATATGATATCAAAATGTTTTAAAAAATTAAACATATGAAGCACTAATTAAATCTGTTAAAAATTTGTAAAAAAAAAAAAGTTTTATTTGTATTTTGACATGAATTTCCTCTGGCATCCATCAGGGGCGCTGCTGCTGCACATAAAATACCAGCTGATTTGTAAAAATAAAAAATTAAATAAGATTTACTCTAACAAGTCTAGTTTAAAATGTTTAATATATCTTAAGCACCACACGGTATCACTAAAATGATTTTATTACCTGTTTAAAAAGGGGTATCTTCATTTTTTAAATATTTAATTAGGTCGATGTAATGATTTTTAGTAGATTATTAGCCCGGTTGTACATTAAACTCCCTATTAGACATAAAACTAACAATTCAAAAGTTTAATAAGAGCTATAAATATTACTAGGAAACCTCTACCTAAGTATTTTTTACGTGCAGATTTAAAAAATATCGTAAAAGAGCCTCCAGCACAGACCCGTTCACTCACTGAGCAAACGTGACGTCCTGACGCTAAACCTGACGTCATGACGTACAGAGCGACCGACGAGCGTCAAACGAATGTAAAGGCGGAATAAAAGCGAAATCCTCACAGCGTAACGGCAGATAAACTTTGTAAAGGAGCTTAAAACGAGCGCAGGTCGGTAACTTTACACTTTAAATCAACGTTTGTCTCCACAGAGTTACGTTTCGTCACTAAACTGTCCGAAGTCGGTCAAAGTTTCCGGTTGTGTCCACGTTGACATTTTGTTTACAAAGAAGCTCATTCATACCTCAGCTTTCTGAGTGAAGTCACAGACAGGTAAACCAGGGCATCTGCACAATCATTTAAAGTTTGTTTGTTTTTTTTGTTATTGTTATTCTGAGTTGTGTTTGATTTTGTGACATCGAATTTAACCGTGATGGAGCACTTCCTGCTGAAAACATTCCTTTATATTTAATTAACCTGCATGGATTTAATCTGAGTAAATCGTCATGACATGTCACGAGGAGTATAGTAGAAGTTAATGGTAAAAGAACAAGTATTTATGGTCAAATGAAAGTATTTTAAAGCTGCAACATGTGATCTTTCTAAGTTTAATAAATTAGTTCAAAATGTCCTGATGCATCTCAGTAATCCAGGTAGAAAAAAATCAAAAAGAAAAAATAAGTTGTACCTACTTATTTTTTCTTTTTCATTTAATAAATTAGGTTTTCATAGAAATCCACAACCTCTTATGTAATGAGCCCATTATTCATCATGACTGTGCCAGATGATCTTAACTGTTTTCCACATTCCTGCTCACAGTAACTTTGTCCTTACTCTGGTTGATATAATCTAATAAATATATATTTGTCGTTGCATGTGGATCACCTGATATGCATGATATCTGTGTTGTGGTTTGACTTTTTAAAAAAAGGGAGGAAATTCTTAGCGAAATGTCAAGGATACAGATTATTGTCCACACCCAGTGACACACAATGATTTACATCCTGCTTCTGTGCTGTGCTCACTGTTACAATAACCCGCTGGCGTACCGATACACTCCTGATCAAAATCTTAAGACCGGTCAAAAAAGTGCAAGAATTTGCATTTTGCAGTTTTGGATCTTAAGAAGGTTGTAAGCAGAGCTTCACAATGTTAAAATAAGAAATCAGTGCAAGAGACAAGAACTTTTGAGCAGGGAATTTTCTGAAAACTGCATTTACACTCAAACATGATTTTTTTCAGCTGATCAAAAGTTTAAGACCATAGTCTTTAAAAGCCAAAAGCTGTGCAAAAATCTGGATTCCATGTCATTTTCTGTCAAGTCTTTACACTGTCAAGACCTCCTGATGGCAAAAGTAAAAAAGCTCACTGACTTTGAGCGTGGTAGGATTGTTGAGCTGCATAAGCAAGGCCTCACAACGTGCCATCGCTGCTGAAGTTGGACGCAGTAAGACAGTCATTTTGCATTTTTTAAATGATCCTGAGGGTTATGGAACAAAAAAATCAAGTGGTAGACCCAAAAAAATTTCACCAGCTCTGAGCCGCAGGATCCGATTGGCTGTCCGTCAAGACACGGGACGATCCTCTACCCAAATTAAGGCCATTACTGGTGCTGATTGCAGCCCAGTAACCATCAGATCATCTGTGAGAGAAGGGCTTCAGAAACAAAAAACSTCTTCAAAGGCCACGTCTTCTTCAACGCCACAAAACTGCCCGTTTGGACTTTGCAAGGGTGCACCAAACATGGGACATTGAAAGGTGGAAGAAAGTTGTCTTCTCTGATGAGAAAAAATTTCACCTTGATGGTCCTGATGGCTTCCAACACCAAACAGAAATGTTATGATGCTGTTGTAAAATGACAATTTGAAAACTATTTGCCAGCAGATGTTCAGTTTRTTTTACAGATAATATTTCTGATTCTGTGACGTCCGGAGAGCAGAAACTATCTGCACTTCCACAACAGTCCAGTCTTACTGTGTTCTATGTCTTTACACATGAAGTCCTTACATTATTATTACATATTTCAGCGGCAGAAATATTGATAATGTTTAGGGAGCACACTGGTGGGAGGTCTGGTGGTCCTCCCCCAGAATATTTTGAATGAAGTAGATGCCATTTCCTGCATTCTGGTGTATTTTAACAGGTTAAACAGACCTTTACCTACATTAGTAAACACTTGGTGTGAGTATTATATACCATATGGGGTGGCCATCACTTTTAATGTCCAGTGGATTGAGAGCCTTCTTTTGGATCCAAAGAGGATTGTTTCTGTCTTTCCGAGATGAGGAGATAGCTTGTTGTCTGTAAGCCATTTGTGGATTTGGATAGAGTGAAGTTCTGATGTTAGGCTTTGCTGAATGTCTTATTTACCAGCTGCTAGGAGAGCCGAGTCATCTGCATATAATAGCAGCTTGCAGTTTACAGCGGCAGACGTTTCATTAACATATATGAGGAATAGTAACGGTCCGAGAATGGAACCCTGTGGGACTCCGCATATCACTTTTGTTGTAGTGGATGTTACGCCTCCGATTTCTACATACTGCTGTTATATAGGTAGTCCTTGAACCAGTTTACAGCTGGTTTCTGGAGCCCCAGAGCTTCCAATTTACATAAGAGAATACTGTGATCCACTGTGTCAAAGGCCTTTTGTAAGTCAAGAAGGACCATACCTGTGAGGTTGCCTTTATCTTGCTCTGACTTGATAAAATTAGTGAGGTAAATWAAGCATGTGTCTGTAGASTGAGAGGRTCTGAAACCTTGGAGCTTGTATAAAAGTTTGTGGTCTGTGAGATATTGGTTGAGTTGCTCATGGACAGTTTTCTCAATCAGTTTGCTGACAACGAATTGAGACGGGATGATAGTTGCTAACCTCGGTTTTACTGCTCTTTTTGTGAATAGGGGTAATTTTAGCATATTTAAGTTTGGAAGGGATACTACCTGTTGACAGAGACAAATTTATAATGTGTTAGTAGGGAGGTGAGGTACATGGTGGCKCCATCTTTAATGAATCTGGTGGGGTATTTGGTCTGGTCCAGTTGCCTTGTTTGGATTTAGATTGTGAAGGTTTTTGAGGACAGTGTCCTCTGTTACGTGTTTGAATACAAAGGAAGTACCTGAGTTTATCCATTTGCTGTAGAATTGCTTTATGTAGGTCGGGACAAACCTCCCACTTCCCATGGGTAATTTTTTTAGTAGYGAGGAAGCAACATTGTAGAAGTACCAGTTAAAGTTTTCAGCCACCCTTTTTATTATTTGATTTCTGAGCTTTGTTTCCACAGACAAGCAGACCCACGGGCTCAGGATGCTTTGTGAGGATGACGGCTGCACGCCGGAGGAGGGTGGACCCGAGGCAGACCTGCAGCAGCCGCTCATTCTGGAAAGAGTCGAGAAGGAACCGGCGAAGAAATGGCAAACAGTTGTGTCGAGTCGTTTGAAGAAGCATTGCTCATGCACCACAAGGAAGGTGAAATCCAGAATCCTGGGCTTTGTTCCCATTCTCAAATGGCTGCCACACTACAAAGTCAGGGACTGGATCCTGGGGGATGTTATGTCCGGACTTATTGTCGGGATCCTCTTGGTCCCGCAGTCCATAGCGTACTCCCTGTTGGCGAGCCAAGACCCCATATATGGTCTCTACACGTCTTTCTTCTCGTCCATCATTTACACCCTCCTGGGCACTTCCAGACACATCTCAGTGGGGATTTTTGGAGTCCTCTGCCTGCTTGTGGGTCAGGTTGTGGATAGGGAGTTGGCTCTAGCAGGATACCTCTCAGAAAGCAGCAGCATGGGTAGTAACAGCAGCGACGTCCTGCTGGCCGCTCTGGGGAACAGCAGTGACGTTGAGTGTGACCGAAGCTGCTACGCCATCGCTGTGGGAACAACGCTTACCTTTACTGCCGGGGTTTACCAGGTAAGTTCTGCTTTTGTCATAAAATATTACGATGAATTTATATCCTCGTGGGGAAAACTAAACAAATAAATGAGGTCATAAACGAATTCATCAGTAATTTGGCAGTCAGTGCTGCAGGGTCTAGTCTAGGCTGTGTCAGGAAGGGCATTAAAAGGTTGTAAAACCATCTGTGATCCTTGCAAAAAGGGAGCAGGTGGAAATAAAACAATGCTTAAAGGCAGTTTTCTGCTGTGATTTTAGGACCTCACTGCTCACCCCCTGCTTCCGTCTTCCTCTCAGGTGTTGATGGGCCTTTTTCAGGTAGGCTTCGTCTCCGTCTACCTCTCAGACTCCCTCCTCAGTGGCTTTGCAACAGGCGCCTCCCTGACCATCCTCACGTCCCAGTTCAAGTACCTTCTGGGCCTGAAGATTCCCCGGCCCCAGGGCTGGTTCACCCTGTTCAAGACCTGGTATGGAATCTTCGCCAACATCGGGAAAACCAACGTTTGTGACCTCGTCACCAGCTTGGTGTGTTTGGCAGGACTGATTCCTGCAAAGGAGTTAAATGATCGCTTCAAAACCAAACTAAAGGTAATTATAAGGTGTTCTTTAGTAAGTAAATACATAAGTAAAGTAAGTTAAATAAAGTAAGTAAATACTTAAGTTAAATAAAGTAAGTAAAGTAAGTAGGTAAAGTAATAAATATGTAAGTAAAAGTAAGTAAAGTTACTAAGTAAATATGTAAGCAAAGTAAATAAAAGTTAAGTAAAATGGAATGTCATATTATATCACCTTCTTCAAGACCTGACTCCGCCTATTTTCATTGCATCATTCAAATTGGCCGGCCTACGGCTGAAATCAGGTCCTCATACATTTTTCCTGTTCTAATGTTAAAACAACGGTTCATTTAAGTGTTGAAGGTATATTCAGGCATGCATCTAATCTACCACTACTTCCTGCCCTGTGTAACCATGTATTTATAGCCACCCAGACCAGTTTGTACATAAAATTCTCAATTTAATCACAAAACTAATCACACAATAGTTTATAAAATTATATCATTATTCACCTAAAACAGATTGTGGTGCTTTTAAAAATCAGTAAATAAACAACCTCAATAAATTTCTTCAGTAATGTGAGTGAATAAAAGCTGCAGAATTCTGGACAAGTTGAAAACGACTCCGCTGCTTTTTGTTCAGACACGTGAACAAACCATTACAATAATCCAGGCGGCTCCAGACAAAAGTGTGAAAAACCATTTCCAAATCAGAGGCAGACAGTAGGGACTGAAGTTTCGATATTACATAGCTGAAAAAAGCATGTAGCAACCAAATATTTTACAGGTTTTACAGGGACGGGTCCGGATCAAAAGTAACACCCAGGTTTCAAAGACTGACGGGCAACTGGACTCAAAGAACCCAACTGTTGTTTCACCTGTGGAATCTTATTTCCAGGGGACTATCAGTCCAACTTTTTAGTGCAACACAACCCCTGTTGGATCCTAAACTTGTGTATTTTTTATTTCCCCTAAAAACATAAGTTTAGTCTATTTATATTGAGTTATTGGTTACTTCTTTATTTTCTGTTCTCTAGGCTCCAATCCCATTCGAGCTGTTTGTGGTGATCATTGCAACACTYGCGTCTCACTTCGGTCACTTCAACAGTGAGTACGGTTCAGGGGTGGCTGGAAATATCCCTACGGGCTTCCTCCCTCCTCAGACGCCTTCGTGGACCCTGATCCCCAACGTGGCCGTCGACGCCTTCTCCATAGCCATCGTGGGCTTTGCCATCACGGTGTCGCTGTCGGAGATGTTCGCCAAGAAGCACGGCTACTCGGTGGACGCCAACCAGGAGATGTACGCCATCGGTTTCTGCAACATCCTGCCGTCGTTCTTCCGCTGCTTCACCACCAGCGCCGCCCTGACCAAGACCCTCGTCAAGGAGTCGACGGGTTGCCAGACCCAGGTGTCCGGGCTGGTCAGTGCTCTGGTCCTGCTGCTGGTGCTTCTGGTTATCGCACCGCTCTTTTACTCCCTTCAAAAGTAAGAACAAGTTTTTAATTCCTGAATCATTGCTTTTTTGAGGCAGCATTCCTAATTAGGAAGACATAATTTAAACGTACACTGTTGGAAAGCATTTAAACCAAGTCTACATGAGCTGTACACACATATAAATTTATTTAAGCTGTTTGAGCWATTTTATAAGACGTTATTACTCTTTGTTATTTTTATGCCTTCTTATTTTTTAGCTAAATAAAACCCCTTTTACCATCTAGGTCAGGGGTCTGAAAGCTTTACAATCAAAAGATCCATTTCTGCTCCTTGTCTCACTAAAAAAATGTGTCTAGACGCAAAACAAGCTACAACTGTGATTTTCAACTGGTGGTCTGCGGGCCTTTTCGGGAACCTTTACAGCCAGTGGAGGTGGTGTGATAAAACTAAAAAATTTATTGGGAATTTCATTATTTATTATTATTTTTGCATATCAGGACAAATAAAAAGACCATGCCATAAAAATAGAAAAATAAATTAAATGTACTTAGTGGCAAACGCAGTCCCCACATAGTGTCTGAGAAACACTTGGATCTGAGGGGGGTTGTTTCTGGTGACATTTTGGGGCAATTTTAACACAAAATGCCTACATTTGGAGACAACTGGTGCATTTGGGGGTCCCCATTTGGTTTAAATACCCTTGGTGGGTTGGGGGTTGGGTTTAGGACCAAGGTGTGAATTGAGTTTAGGTTAGTTTTAGGGTCAGGTAGGTTTAGGGTTTGTGGTCAGGGTTAGACTGTAGAAATGTAATGGAAGTCAATGGAATGTCCCCAATTAGATAGCTGTGCAAATGTGTGTGTGTGCGCCAGCGCAGGAACAACCGCTCTTGTGTTGCTTATAGAAAGCTACYTTCACAGATTTATTGACCAAATTCTTCATCCATCTACTGGACCAGTTTTCTTTGTTCGGACTCTTTATTTGTCAAGTTTTTTAGGAGTTTAACCAATTTAGGTTTTGCATTTATTTAAAAAAAACCTCAATATTTGCCAATAAGATGTCACAGCTAGGGATGTCCCAATCAGATCCTCAGTATTGGTATCGGTGGCAGATGTGGCCATTTTTTGAAAATCGGGTAGAATCAGATTTAGTCGTGATCGGGCCAATCCAGTTTTCGCGACAGTTTTCAGCATCACCATGCTTTACAACTGTCGTTACGAAGTCAAGACACACACAAGTATGCAACCATGTCCACAGTGTGGGAACACTTTTCAGTGGAAAACAATGATGCAAACTGGATGTTTCTGGTGGTGGAACAGCAGGGCTCGCTTTCATACCACCAACTTTGTCACTTGGAAAGTAATAAAGAAATAAAGCTATCAAATCGGTATCGGAAAGCCTAGTCATTAAAAAAATCGGATTGTATTGGGAGCCAAAAAATCTGGATGGGGACATCCCTAGTCACAGCACTGATGACCTGTTCAGAAACCTGTTAAAACTGCTTTAAGTCAAACTCCTCGTCCAAAGCTTTAGTTCTTTGCTCATTGGTTTGTTGTGTTTATGTTGTGTGCTAAGGGTAACTAAACATCTGATTCCTTGTTTTCCATGTGTGCAGGTGTGTTTTAGCCGTCATCATCGTGGTGAACCTGCGCGGAGCTCTACGAAAGTTCCTGGATGTTCCCCGCATGTGGCGCGCCAATCGGATCGACGCCTCCATCTGGTTGGTGACCATGGCCACGTCGGCGCTGGTCAACACCGAGCTTGGGTTGCTAGTCGGGGTCCTGGTTTCGGCCTTCTGCATCCTGGGCCGAACCCAGAAGGYCCAGGTCCTGGAGCTGGGCCGGGCCGGGACCAGGGAGCACTACGAGCACCTGTCGTCTTACCGCGGCCTCCGGACTCACCCCGAAGTGGCGGTTTTCAGGTACGAGGCGCCGATCTACTACGCCAACCAGAGCTTGTTCAAGAAGTCTCTGTACAGATGTGTGGGTCTGAACCCCGCCAGGGAGAAGGCCCAACGGTTGAAGAGCAGGAAAACCAAGCAGCAGGAGGCCGGAGGAGCAGCAGGGATGAAACCAGGAGAGAAACAGAACGGTGTCGAGGCTGTCGTGGCCGTACCTTTGGTGCTCGATGAGAAACCGTCGAGACGCGCTCGCAGCTTGGTGATCGACTGCAGCGCCGTCTTGTTTCTGGACACGGCAGGCGTGAACGCTCTGAAGGAGGTGAGGAAAGACTACGGAGACCTTGGGGTTGACRTTATCCTGGCGCAGTGCAATACCTCAGTGCTGGACACTTTGGAAAAAGGGGGTTACTTTGACGGTGAAAAAGACGGCGAGGTGGGAAAGAACAAGCTGATTTTCTTCACCATCACAGATGCTGTCCTCTACGTCCAAAGCCTCGGTGTCCCTAACGGAGACTGTGACAACAAATCYTAACGTACGTCAAATTTACGATCAAAGGTCTGCAACACACACAGAAAGAGTAGCTTATATCACAAACGTGCCTTTTTATAACCTATGTTAAACGTTATTTGTTGTGGGTGAGAAAAATAGTTTTTCAGCTTCAATATTTATAAATCCATCTTACAGAAAATCTCTGAGGTTTGGAGTTCCTATTTTTTCCGCATTTGGACACAGTTTTCCCAACAGGACTAGATTTATATATTTTATTTATAAACGCTACATGATTTAAAACGTAGCTTACTTGCGAGATTCATTTCCCTCATTACACACTAGATGTGGTTCCTCTCCGCTCCGGTGCGAATCACAGAGGATGTCCGAGAAGCGCGTGCAGGAAATGTGAGATCACGTGATAAATCTAGTGATGAACGTGGAAGTCGGAGCAAAATAAATCATTTTGTGGAAGATGGACTTCACACACAGCTGAAACTGTATCACTGTCCATGCGTGTGCTCWTGTGCTGCACGCTACACAGGGCTCTATTTCCTAATCGTACCACAAAAAAAAATAAATAAGTAAAAATGTCTGGTCGCATGTTCGAGCGTAGGGGGTGGAACAAAAAGTTTTCATGTCCCATAAAGTCAATCCAGCAGTATCAACAGTCGCCCACCGACACAAAAAGTCTCCATAGCTGTGTTTCCATTACAAATGTGCGCAAAACTTTGTCGATATTCTGTTAATGACGAAAAAACACAGTTTCG